CCGGCGGCTGCCGCGCGTGTCCTGCCGCAGAGATCGCGGCGCTGTGCGCGTGTGTGCCCAGAGGGGAATTGACGCCGTGTGTTCAGAAAGGAACGAACGCGTCCTAGGCAAGCAGGTTCCTTCCCTTCCTTGGGAAACTGCAGTGAGTTAAGAGACTCTTAGCTGGGGAACGTATAACACACACACACATATTCTTATGTATAAATGTGTGTGTGTGTACCCCAGCTAAAAGTTTCTGTATGTGTGTGTATATTTAGGATTGTTCGTAACACTGCCTTTATTTTGGGGTGTAATAACTGTTTACTGAAATCTTAGCACATCACAGGCAATGATTAGTATCAAACCCACTTGAAAAAGGCCTTGGCTGCAAATAGGTACAAATCAGTGCAGAAATTCTCCAAAGAGAGAAATTATGCAACAAATGTTACCCGCCTTTTTTTTTTTTTTTTTTATGTTTAAATACAGGCTAGCAAAACCTATTGCTTTTTCTTGTATGGACAAGATTTGGGCATCCGAGTTTATTTATTTTGATCTCCTCTAAGCAGAGGAATGTGTTAAAAGGCAGGACGAAATAAAATCCCCCAAAAAGGTTGGTAACACAATTGCTATTTTAATGGGCAATTTTACAAGGATGGATTTAGTTTCAGACATAGTTTTAAGAAGAGTTTTAAAGAGACATCAAAGTGTCTAAAATCTTTGTAACAGAGCTAGTGCCAAAGATCAGAGGGAGGAAAAAAAGAAGTCTATTTAAAAAGTGCTTCTTGCTTTTGAAAAGGCCAGGATTATATACAAAACTACTTTACCGTGTTTCTTTTTCTTCTGAAATGTTGACCACATGTAAAGTTGATAGTCTTGTTTTAAGGTGGTATTTAGGAAGTAAATCCTGTATTGTATTTTGTGCTAAATCATAGTCATTTTAAAGCCACTCTTCTAACCGAAATTTGATGCTTTTTCAACTCCTTAATTCTTCCAGAAATCTGTTGGTGCAAATGGTAACACCTGTCAATAGGGGGGAATTTTTGTTCCCAGAAGCTTTTATGGCTCTGTATCTTTATAGTAACCTTATTTTTTTCCTTTTGACATTTTGTTTGTTTATAAGCCTACCTGTTACCATATCTGGGACATTGTCAGAACTAATCCTGAATGTGGCCCAACTTCAGACAGGCAGTTTTCTATAAAAAAAAAAGCTTTTGTGCTTTCTTGTAAGAGGACATTTGGGAGGAGTTCCCAGGAAACATTTTCAAAGCCACCTCAGTATCTGCCTTCCTGTGTGTCTTAAAGCTTGTTTGTTTTTCTTTCTTTTTGTTACCTCGTATTTGACAGCAGTCACTTTGGTGCTGTTCTGAGTTCACCTTCTGCAGTACTGACTGGCTGGCTTCATTGGTCCTAACAGTGCTTTACAGTTAGATTACAAGCTTTGGTAGGTGGGCACCCCCCCCCCTTTTTTTTTTTTTTTCTCCTCCTGTTTCTTGGCACAATTTGTTTCTGCGATCCAGTTTGCACAATTTCAATCAAGTCATTTGAATTTAGCATCATCTTAAAATATTTTTTTATTTTTTTAAAAACTAATTGTAAAGATGTATAGATTAGTTCCATTTTTATTTCTGATTATTTTTTAAAATGCTAATGCTAGCATGCTGTAAATAGTACAGGCAAACATAGGCAAATAAATATCTATTGACATACAATGATTTTTCTTGATTTGTGTTTGGAATCAGAATCAGAATTACTGGAAAGTGGGTCTTTGGTGTGTGTGTGGTTTTTTTGTTTCTTGAATAAATTCGTTCTTTCAGAAAAAAAAGCCTTTGTCTCTTATGATTTTTGTTAAGCCTGTTATTTCAAAGTACAAAGTGGATGGTAACTACATGAGCAGTATCAAGCACAGTATGCAGTATTAATAAACATACAATTTTGTATTATATTGTCTGCATATGTGTTGGAAGAAAGTTGTAGGTATGTATAAGAAAAAATGCCCAGTATAGATGGAATGTCAGATTAGAAATCTATTAAAATATTCATATTTATAGTTTATGTTTCAGTGCTATAAAACTGCTTTGTGAAAAACTGTTAAGTATGAAAGGACGGTAGGTTATGTGTATTATATCTTCTTAGTTTTGAGTTGTAGAGGAAATTAAGTTCAGCATACAGAAGTCAGCATACAGAAGTTTTGTGTTGGTAAAAGCAGAAAAAATGTCAATATGGAAATAACTGTGTGGTTTTATTTCTGTAACACACTCTTGAGGTCTTGCAAGGAAGGACCAGATGGAGCAGTTGGTGACAGTGGGAACTTTGCAGTGGGAACGCTGCAGAAATTTATTAGTAGTGAGGTGGCCTTGAGGAAACCATGGTCTGTTGTAGCAGGGGCTGCTTGTTACTCTCTCTTCTCCTGCCCTTCCTTCCGTGGCTGCAGTTAGGCAAGAGGTTGTTGCCCAGAGCTGGTCCAGATGCTCTGCTTTAGTCCCTGCCTGAGACAAAGTTCTGTGCTTTGGCTTTTTGAGAAGTTACAAAGAATCTCCAAGGCTGTGAATGTGAACATGGGTTTGTAAGTGGAGTGTACCAGGATCAGCTGTGGTTTCATTGCTGAACTGTAACATTTCTTTTGATAAGGATTAAAATCCATGACAAGATTTATATTTCAGTTACACAAGAAGAATGGGGTTTTTCCTTTATTGATGGTAGAAAAAAAATAAAAGTAGGACTTGAGTGAATGTCAAAAATACTGTTTTTTTCTCTGTTATGGTGTCATCTCTAGGCCTTAAAATATTATTCTGTTGGTTTTTCTTTTTCTTAAGCAGCAGTAATTATTTTTATCTGCAGTTATATGCAATATAAAACCATATGTTTCATGAAGAGCCAGCTGAACCTGTTCCCCGTGTAATTAAAACTTCTGAGAATGGGAAGGACATTTAAAAAATCATGTCAAGTATAATCCCAAAATGAGGATATTCATTTAAAAAGATTTCTAATGCTAGTAACTCTTTGGAACACATACTGGTTTTTTTTTTTACCCTAGTTATCAATTATTCATCTCAAAGGTAGCCCTTATCCTGAAGGGCTGCTCTTCATATGGAAGCTCTCCCTTAGAAATAAAACACAGATTTAAGTATACTAATATTTTTTTGGATACTGCATTTAAATACCTTACCAAATCCTAATCAATTTAATTATACTTTCTGTTTAAGCCTTGGTGTAATGAAGTCCTATCCTTTTCCTACAGTTAACTCTTTGCAACTTTTTTTTTAAATTATTATTGACTTGAAAGCTTTGTAACCAACTCTGCTATTAAGTTTCAAGTAATTAGGGGAAAGTCACTAAAGACTTAAACTTTTGGTAGTGCTTTAGCTTAACTGTCCCTATTTTTATTTCCTTACAGTGGTGGGAAGGACAGCTGCTATAATATGATGCAGTGTGTTGCTGCTGGGCACCAGATTGTTGCTCTAGCCAATTTAAGACCTGCTGAAAGCACAGGTATGAAAGCCTAATTTCTCGCAGAAAATATATATATATATTTTGGAATAAGTAATAGAGACACAGCTGTGTCATAAGTTCTTTTATGTATTTGTATTTAGTTTTGCATATTGAAGGACAATCTGCAAATCATCTTTAAGAAGTATAAGAAAATTATGTGTATATAAATACATACAATAGAAAATGCAATAAATGTATTTTCGCTGAAAAAGAAAAGAAATACGAAAGGATGAAGAGTAGTAAAAGAAAGGCTTGCACAATTTGAAGAAAGGAAAACATGAATATTTCTGGTATTATAAGAGGGGAATGTATGAGTTCAGTGTCGTGAATAATAAAATCTTGTATGGGAAATCATCTAACAAAACAAACGCTTCTTTTAGAAACACTTTAAACTGGGATTAACTACTCTGGCTGTCAAAAATAAGAAGTTCTGCTGCTGCCTGTTTGTTCTTCTCCCCATGTATGCTCCTCCATTATTGTAGCCCGATCCTTCCGAACTGGATTGAGGAGCTGATCTGGGTTAGAGCTGGCTTTGGTACACTGCCTTTTGAGCTCTGCTGGGTTAGTTTGAGCATAGAACAATTTTCTGATCGGTTTCTACACAAGTTTATGGACGATTCTCAGGCATGTCGAAGTCATTCCTGGGGAGAGACAGAGATTACCACTTCTGTGCTGGGAATGAAGTGAGGTTTGAAAAAGAGAGTGAGTTAATTCCTAGTTGTTTGGGGCAAATTTCCAGTGTTGATCCATGATAATTGCTTAATGTATGTTATCTTTGGGATACCTGGTAAGGCACAGTAGGAGGATGTGCAGAAATAGTGAAGGGAAAGGTGAGCTGGCATCACAGATAAATTGTGGAGGGGACTAGCAACTACTAGGGAGTGGGCAAGAGCATTTTATTCCCTTGGTAGCTAGGGCAAAATGATCTCTAGTCTTGTTAAAATATGTTTGTCTTTAATTTATCCACGTCAGAAATGTAGAATATTGTCATTAAAACCATAAAATGATCCCTTTAAGTCTGTAGTTGGAAATTTTGTGGAAAGTTAATTGAGGTGCTTCAGGCAATAGTGGATTCTATGCCATTCATTTTATCTTGTACCACTGTTGCTTGGATAGTCTCAATTAAGAAAGAAACTGTGTATTCTGAACTGAATATGACTTTAAAGGGACCTTGTCATGTTTTACATACATTAAAAAGTACTGAGTTTTATTTTAAATCAACCCTTCATGTTCAGTTTGGTTAATTGTGATTAGGAGTCCCTGAGTCCATTTTGAGCAAATACATAGCTCTATTTTACTGTATGGCATCAAATAGGATGCGATACAGTAATTACATCACAAATTAATTATCTCAATCCAGTTACAGACCTTTCCGTTTCCAAAATGTGCCATATGGACATACAACAGAGATACTTTATGTGCCTGGGTCTAAATTAAGAGTTCAATGTTGCAAATCAGTGTTAGGATAGTGAATTGTGTTAGTTTTTAACAAATGAGGTAGAAATTTCAGCAGTAATGTTGTGTTGCTTTATTGATCTGTTATAAAATCATTTAGATTTTTTTAATATTAACTGTATCAGAGAGTTTGAGATTTCCTCTTGACTAAAGAAACAGCAGCAAGCAGTTGGCTACGTTCTGAGATTATTTTTTTTTAAGTGGAGTGGAAAGGGACTGAGTATTTTAGCAGATCTCCTTTTCTTTTTGTAGCAATCAAAGTGTTGTAGCAATCTACTTTTATTCTACTTAACTACAATAATCTGCTCTTCAAGTGTTTTAACAGTAACATTTTTGGAAATTTTGGCAAACTGTTGCTTATTGTCAGTGTTGCAGTGTGTTCCAAGTTTCTTGTACTGAATATGTTGAAATATAGTTGGGTTTGTGCCTCTCTCTGAATTATTGTATAAATAGGAGCAGGATTGGACCCTTAAAACATTTTTGGATGAAACAGGGAGGAACAGTAAAGAAGAAGTAGACGCAACAATTTCCAAGTAGGAAGCAGGTTCATGACATGCATCTTCTTGTCCCTAAGTCTGCTGGGGGAAAAGATCTACTTTTTTATTTTTTATATTTATTTATTTTTATTTCCATGTTCATAAGGATTATGTCATCATCAACTGTGAACCAAAAAATACTAATTTTTTTTTCTTGCTGCTCTAGAATGTTACCATTTTCTGTAGCTGTTGAAATAATGTACTTATCATCATGTTTATTTCTTAATTTTGGCAGGGCAGAGTGATGAGTTGGACAGTTATATGTATCAGACAGTAGGACACCAAGCCATTGACCTGTATGCTGATGCAATGGATTTGCCACTCTATCGTTGCTTCATTAAAGGCACCAGTGTTAATACTGGACGAGTGTACACCACGTGTGAGGGAGATGAGGTCGAAGACCTTTACCGCCTTTTGAAACTTGTTAAGGTATGTTGAATAAAAGAATGAACTACTTGGAAATGATTGTGTTGCCTTGATACATTACACTGATCTATAAATTTAAGTAAATATTCCACTTGCATATTTATGGAAAGCTGTGAAAAAGTTTATGGACATTTCTACTCTTATAAGTGTAGTTTCTATTGCTTTGTTCTGCCTTTGAGTGTGAATATGCAGCCTAACTTAATTTATTTTTTTTCATTTTCCTCAAATTTTAAACCAGACTAATCATTGATTAATCTTTATTTCAAACCAGAACCATGTTCTTATTCAATAAGTACACCTTCAGTAGGTTCTTGGCAGATAATAAAAAAAAAAAAAAAAGTGAAAGTTATCTATGACCAAAATGCAATTTACAGTTTCGTATTGCTTGATTATTAGAATATAAGATACATTTATCAATATATTGAAAGTAATGTCTATAGATGTGTAATTGTGTGCACTTAATTTCTCTAAGCCATTTTTTCCAGTGGTTTGTATGATGCAGATCATTTACGAAGTATTATGCAATATTTTACGTTATGATTTTGATTTTGGTAGTCTTGTAGCTAAGTACTGATGTATCATGTAATAGCAATCATGTAAACCAATCTTTCTAGCTGCAAAAGCATTTTGAGAGGTAATGAGCATATTTCCTAAAACTGGAGATTTACTCTTTGCTGTTTTCCAAAAACTTCATGAGATGCTTGATTTCAATGGGATCTGAATTGCTTCTCAGGAGAAATGGATAGAAATATTCCAGCTGACTGCAGAGGTTTTAGTTGAAGTTAGAGTAAAAATGTCCTGTGTCCTATTGTCCTGTGTCTTCCAGTTATTTGTGTTGGTGATTCCAGTGCACAGTACTAAAAAAAGTCCAGCAGATTGTATTAATTGCTACAGTTATTAAAAAAGTAAATACGTTTAATTTTGTATATAAATTTGGTAGACTATTTTCTGAAACTTCAGCTAAAGGTATTTCTGGTCTTCAAATTTGATACTGAGCAATTTCCTGCCCTCTTTCCTGTCACTCCATTTTTCCCCCCCCAGAAATCAGAAATGAGATTCATAAACTTGAAAGCTTCAGGCTTGTGCTTTGTTCAGTAGCAAGAAATAATTTTGCAGGAATATGTTTTTAGTGCAGGATGCTTCCTGAACTATGTTGAAGTCAGGTGTTATATTTTCTAAATATTTTTGACGGGGAAATCGTGCTCATCTCTAGTAAAATTGAGCACATCACCTGTGTTGGAATATGATACTTCTAGAAGGAACACAGTGCATATAGGCTGTGTTACTGATCTCGGGTGCTTCACAAAGTTCTAAAATGGAATCTGCATGTCATGTGGGACACGGTGAAAGAAATACGGTACAGCACTCTTAAATGATTTTTTGAACCACGATAATATTAGAAATTAGAAGGACTAATATATATCGTCTGTTAAAGCTGCATGATAACAGCTTTCTGAGGCTGGGTAAGATAATAAATTACTGATCAATTTAATTAAAAATGGGCAGATTAGTGGCAATTAAGATGAAATTTCCCTTTCGATCCTTGCTGTCTTTGGAGAAATGGATGCTTTGACATAAATTAATGCTAATGTTGAATCTTGACAACTTCTGCTTTGAAAGTTCATACATGATAATTATAACTGTGGTTGAAAGAGATGTTATTGAGTTGTCTGGGGCTGAATAACTCCTTCTTTCTTGCATAAAAATATTAATTCCACTACAGGATATTTTAAAGAGATAAATAACATCAATATATTAGATACTGTATAACCTTGCCTTTACAATCAAACCTGTTTATGATACTTTGGTGCAAAAGTTTCAGCAGATATCTTGCGTATTCTAGTGAAAATTGAGTAATTATGAGAGGGAAGTAATCTACAGGATCTATAACTCTTCATGTTGATCACTTCAGTTTTAAGAAAGGAATGAAGCATTTTTTTTCTCTTGTGTAAGCATTAAGTTTGAAAGCTTTATGATTTTTTCACATTTATCTCTAACTGCCTTTTTACAGCTTTGCCATATGAGTCGTAACCAGTGGTCATTTTCTTTTAGGGATTCTTGTTTTTTTCAGATGATGCTAATAGGTTTAAACAGAGAGCTCAGTTTGCTGTCTGTTGAAGCTGGGGGAGAAATCTGCAAAAGGCTTGTAAAAATGCTTCTTTGAGTTGGTGTGATTTCAAAGCAATGGTCCAAATACCATTTTTTTCTGTAATGTTTTGGGCCTAAGGATACAGAAAAGGTGTATCTAACTGAAAACTGCATAGTAAAAAAGTTAAATACTTCATGGTTGTGAGCAATCCAGGACAACAGTCTTGTTCTAGTTGACAGGATTCGAAGCAATATTGACTGCAGGTGGATGTGAAACTGGTTATTCTGTCCTCACAAACCCAGATGAGTTGTGTGCTGCAGTAAAATACATTTACTTTTAGCTGCCTGATAGACAATCTAGAATAGGATATGTTGAACAGGTGCTGGAAACCAAATCAGAATAACTTACATGTTGTCTAAATGTAACCATACAATTCTTACATGCTAACACTATTTCTACTTCATGTAGGGCATTTAAATACTGAAATCTAAGAAATTATTTGATCTGCTACCCATGTTACTAAATAAAGATGACTCAAATTCTGGCTCTGTCCATGTTTGCCTATTTGTGTGACTGGGGCTTTGGCCAGCAAAGCAAAGCACTAGTCTTCCTTGGTTGCCTATCAAAAATCAGAAAAAAAAAGTGTAGGAAAACTGTGGTTCTTAACCCTTAGTGAATGGGAAAAATGGACCATGGAGGGGCATTTGTGAAACTTTCTTGAAACGTGCTTGTGTCTGTAGGTGTGTTTAACTGCTTTCTCCTTTTCCTAGGTAATTACGATCTTGTCCAATTATATACATATATGTATGTGTACACACACACACGCACACACACACACAGGCAGTTAGTGCAAGCACGCTGAAGTGGTGCTAAAGAAGTTGAATATTAGATTGCTTTCAGTGTCCTATGGAACTCTGGCTTAACTTTTGCTAAGGGCAGTGGATCCAGTAGCTTCCAGACTGTACAAACCCCTGCAAGATGTTGTCTTTCCGTGACACACCTTTGGGTGTCACTTGACACTTTCTGTCCTCTTCTGAATTTCTTGCTTTGTCTCCTCAACCGTGTGGGGACTTGGTTTTTATTTGGAAAGATTCCACTGCTGGGACAGTTTGTAGAATGCTGGATCTTTGTCTTTAAAGAAGATTTTTTTTTTCTTTGAGCTAGTCGTTCATGTTTTTCTGTAACAAATTTTTCAGTACTTGATTTTGAAATTAAGTGTGTCAAAGAGTATATTGATTCTAATATCTTTGTAATAAGTTTACTTACATGTATTCTATCTATAAAGCACGAGAGAGTGTTTTCAGTGCATTTTCAATGTTATCATGTTAGTTTCTGTTAGCCTTCTTTTTGAGAAGCACCTTGTGGAGTCACCACCTGCAAACTTAAAGAAACAGAACAGCATGCTGGAAAGGAAATAACACACTGGATTTCAGAACTGAAGGATTAATTGTGATATCATTGATCATCAAATATAAAAATAAGTATTGCTGTTGGGTGTATTGGATATATGAAATATTTTAATAATAATAGCCTTTGCAAGTAGCACTATTTCATTTTATCAGTATCGTGGGAGGGAAAGGAGCTGTAATTCTTTTTAAAAAATAATGTCCTGGAACGTCCTGGAGCAGTGATCTTATAACTCAAAGTCAGTCCCTGGGAATAGGTAACATGCCTTTTAGTTACAGCAGCAAAGAGTTTATTAATACGGTGTGACTCTTTCAGTTAAAAATTATTTTTTGAAGGACAGGATCATGATTTTGGAATAAAACCATAATGATGTTTACTGAAGACAGGAAATTTCTCTGTCCATATTACAGTTAACATTGTGATAGCTGTGTAATTTTTGATATTATTTCAATGCTACATAGATGGAAGTGTATCAGTCCATGCAGGATCATGTGGGAAATGAAGGAACTCCAGGTCCCGTAATTATTCCATAAAACTCACTAAGACTTCAAGTTTTTCAGGAATCAATGGGAAGGCTTGAGGGGAATGGATGAAATACAGGGTTACTCTGCAGTCTTTGTGTAGGGGTTATTTCTCTCGCAGAAGATAAAGCCTTCAGTTCCGTATTGTTCCTAATAGTATTTCTTCATGCTAAGGAAGCAGCCCTTCTTTATTCCTTTTTAAAAATTCAGCTGTTGTAGATAATGGGTGAAAATAAGTTGTCGAATTCAGTCCTTTCTGTTTGTCTCTGACACCGAAATAGTAGTAATCCTCACATTAAAGTTGGCCTTTTGAAGTAATGTTTCTGATCTGTTGCTTTTAAACTCTCTGAAATTTAGCTTTCATTCAGAGTATGATTGACTTATTTTATATTGATTGTGAAGTTGCTCCAACAGCTACATTTTTTTTAGACTTCTCTTGTTGGATTTAAGGTATTGGCTTCTTGCCCATTCTCTATGCAGTAACATATTTGTACAAGTTAAAAATGTTGTTAATTGTGTACCTTTTCTTAGAACACAGATGTTAAAGAAGTTATTTAGTACAATCCTATTATAGGTCTAAACTGTTTCTTAGCATATGTTTCACTAGGTCACATTTTCGTCTAGTCAAATATTTTAAAAATATTTTAGAATTTAATTTAACCTCTGAATCGTCTAGGAAAGACCTAATTTTAAAGCATCAGTTCTACTTGTGAATTTCACTGTGACTTTGGCGTTCAAAATAAAATAATATCTAACAATACATGATAATTTTCAGAACAAACACACTGCTGAAATTAATGTGGATTTGAGCACTAAGAGAGAGATAAAGACTACATTATCTTTACTTGGACATTAGTGAATAGATGTAAAATGAAGTAGAATATTCAGTTATTGGAGTCATATATCTGAATAAGATAATTAGTTACAGTATTGTAAAAAAAAAATCTTGTAAAATACCTTGTAAAATTATAAAATTCTTTAAGAAT